GTGCGCGTGTGTGTGTGCATCCGTGACTCACTCTGCTGACTCTTGTCCTTGTGTTTGAGCTGCTGGAGCTGCTGTTTGGCCTGCTCCTGGTCTTGGAGATGCTGCTCCATGTTATACTGCTGTGAGGAGGAGAGGAGACAGTGTGACTGATCACAGAACAGTGGAAGAGCCTCACACACAGCCTGGAGCTGAACAGCCCATCTGTATCTGGTCATACACAGTACCGGGACCAGTGTGATGTTTAGCTCATGTACGGTACTGTTGTGAGTGTGGCTGATGTGCTGTACTGGGATCAGTGTGTGGTGACGCACCTGTATGCGCTGCAGCTGCTGCTGGCTGTACTGGGAACAGTGCTGTGTGTTGTATCCGATCAGCAGCTGAGGGTGCAGCGGGGACAGGAAGGCCGTGTCTGAACCCGAGCCCGGCCGCAGCAGACGCTCTCCCACACGCAGGTCCATGGGGACGGGGCCCTCGGGGGACCACACTGAGCCTGCAGACAGACACACACACACACACACACACACACACACACACACACACACACACACACACACACACACACACACACACACACACACACACACACACACACACACACACACTACATTAGGATGAAGGAACACATCAGATCAGATGCTGGGGTGTTGGAAATGTTTGTTTCAATGCTCAAATGTTCACTATGATTCAGATCATCATCTAATGCCTTGGTTATTTTACACTCAAATCTCATTAATGTAGTGCTTTCTAATTTAAAATAATTAACTGTAATAAGATTAATAAACAAAAAATGATGTACCGTACATTTAAAAACACAAGGAAATGTCCACACTAATAATAAAAGAGGCAACAGACGCAGTAAACACATTTAATGACAATAAACACACAGAACAGAACTACATCAGCTCAGTTTCAGCTCTTAAAGCTCTAGTGTGTGATTAGGACTGACGCTGAGCAGTGGAACTGATCAGTCAATAACTCCATAACTCGTGTTGTGTAAATCAGTGATGGTTGATTTCCACTGATGACAGAGGAAGATGCAGGGCAGAGATGTAGAGATGTGTGTATCAGCGCATGTTCCAGCGCTTTCCTCATGGCACATTCCACACTCATATACGCCCGGCTGATTTACATATCATTTGCATGCTGTTTTAAGAGTATTTGCATGGCACCAGGGCTCAATGGGACGCGCCGCCTCACCCTTACATCATGCAGACGGGAACAGACATCACAAACAGCAGACCTGACCGAGCTGACCGGAGCACACCTAAAGGGGCAGTTCACCCACATGTCAACATTTACTCTCGCGCGAGGGGCTCCTAACCTTCATGAGTTTCTTTCATCTCTTCAACACAAAAGAAGATATTTTGAAGAATGTTGGACACCTGTAACCATTGACTTTGCTTGCTTTTCCTGCTATGGGAGTCAGTGGTTACAGGTTTTCAGCATATCTTCTTTTGTGTTCAGCTGAGATAGAAACTGATGAAGGTTTGGAAAGACTCGAGCATGAGCACATGTTCATTTCTGGGTGAACTCTCCCTCACATACAGATTTATAGTTAAATATCATCTTCAGTGTCGTCTTGAGGAAGAGTAAATGATCATGTTTGTGTGGTGAACTGTGCCTTTAAGACATATTTCGGATCTGAAGCGAGAGTTTGAGGCAGTGTTTCCCCAGTAAAGTCTCTCCAGAATATATCAGTGTGTGCTGCTTCAGAAACGGTAACACACACACACTCTTAGGCACACAGAGCACACACTTGCTATTGTCTTCTTGTGAAGCGCGACTGCTTTGTCACTGCTACTCTGACACAAAGACACAGAGCAAAAAAAGTTTTTCTCTGAAGCAGACCAATCAGGAGCCTGGAAAATGACTCAGCGATGACCTCAGCCGGTGAGGAACAGTGTGTACCTCTGAGCTGATGTGTGTTACGCAAGAGCAAATACAAATACAATAATAATCAAATCAAGAAGAGCAATCAGAGGAGATCAACTGAGGTGGCAGGAGAACTGACCGAAGCATTTTAACTATATTCATTTGATTTAATAATTTAATTTGATTTAACACTTTGGTCAGTGCTGTCGTTTGTGTTAAGATATTTACACTGTCAAAATGAAAACCTCATCAAAGGCCTAAAAACTAACAATGCATGATGTAGAATCGCTACTGACAACTCAATATCCATAACTCAACAGCAATAACTTTATCCATAACTCGATACCGATAACTCGATACAGATAACTCAATACCAATAACTCAAAACCGATAACTCAATACAGATAACTCGTTAATGATAACTCAATACCGATAACTCGTTAATGATAACTTGATACTGAGAACACAATGCCAATAACTAAATATCCATAACTTAATGCTGAGAACTTGATAGTGATAACTCGAAACCGATAACTCAATATTGATGACTGAATACTGATAATTCAATATTGAGTACTCAATATTGATTTAGAAGCTGATATATTATCCCATCAATATAAATAATGAAATGATTGCAAAAAAAACCCTGAATAAATCAAAAGGCAAATGCATTTAGTGACCAGCTGATTTCAGAATCACAATGCCAGTAATAGTAGAGATCATTTAATTTATCATATAAACATTTGCATATTATTCAATAATATTGCTGAAATGAATATAAAAACTAAATTATATTTACTGATATTTACAGACACAAAACATTAGTTTCCAAAAGCTTAGAAAAAACGTCCTTTTTCATGAAGTGTATAAACATGAAATAAATTATAACATGAATATATTTATGACCTTAAAATGATAATTAATAATCAAAATTCAGTTTAAATGAAATTTAAGCTATTAACCATCTTCAATATGTTTTAGCACATTTAAAAAAATAATAAAATACTTTAGTGCTCATTTAATGCAGAAATATTAGTGGGGAAACTCCTCCAGAATCCCATTCCTCAAACACATTCATATTAAACACAGATAATTCAGCCTCTCCAGATCACGTGACTGGATACGCAGCAGATAATGGGGCTGCAGAGCCTCTCCAATGCTGCTTCAGCCTCTCTGAATCCTCCAGTGATGGGTTCAGTGACTCATTAGACTGATCAGAGTTCAGACGGCAGGAATCTGAACGCAAGATAATCGCATGACAGTGTGTGTGTTATCGTGTGTGTCATCTGCTGATTTACTGGGAAAATAACAGCGCTTGAGCAACTTCCAGCATTAGCGAACAGAGGAACGATGCTTCACGCACTCGTCTGCACTGCTGTCCTCATCTAATGCAGGTAGAGGAGGTCTGGCAGAGCCCTATTATGACTGCTTTATTTTGTGTTCCTCGTGACCTGGGCTGTCTAGAACAGCTCAGCTTTAAAATAAGACAAAGCACTTCATTTAGTTCATTTTCCTTTCTGCTTAGTCCCTTCATTAATCACAGATCACCACAGCGGAATGAACCGACAACTATTCCAGCAACCTATCACTGGGAGACATCCATACACACACACACACACTGAGGGGTGTCCTGACACACTCGCACACACTCCAGGATCTCCACACACTCTGTTTAGGATCCTGAAATGGAGACGAGGAGCATCTTGGCAGAGCAGCTCTGGATGCCAAACGTGCTTCGGGTTCTTGCTTTCCTGAACTCTCAACATGAAGTGCTTTCCTCCCGCACACACACTTACACACACACACACACACTTACACACACACACACGCACACACTCCAGGAAGCATCTCGCCTCCTGCTCTTCTTCTCCTCCTCCTGTTCTCAGCTCATTCCCTGTGTTCGGCTCAGTGTTCAGTCACGGATCCAGGACAGAGCTCACACAAACCAGGAACAACTGAGAGACACAGAGCTGTCTGCCCTGCACACTGATGAGGAAAACATTTACTTCCTTCAGCTCAGTCCCTTTATTCATCAGGGGGCACCACAGCAGAATGAACCACCAACTATTCCAGCATATGTTTAACGCAGTGAATGCCCTTCCAGCTGCAACCCAGCTCTGGGAAACACCCATACACACTCATTCTCTCTCACACACACACACACACACACATACACACACACACACACACCCACACACACTCATACACTACGGCCAGTGTAGTTGATCAGTTCCCCTATAGCACATGTGTTTGGACTGTGGGGGAAACCGGAGCACCCGGAGGAAACCCACACCAACACGGGGAGAACATGCAAACTCCACACAGAAACACCAACTGACCCAGCCGAGACTCAAACCAGCGTCTTAGGTGCTGTGAGGCCACAGTGTGACACCACTGAGCCACCTTGTTTAGGTTATTTATTTGTGGAATATGTATATTACACACACACACACACACACACACACACACACAACAACAACAACACAACAACCACAACATCCACAATTACTTTGGATCATGAGTGTGTGCGCGCGCGTGTGTGTGTGTGTGTGTGTGTGTGTGTGTGTGTGTGTGTGTGTGTGTGTGTGTGTGTGTGTGTGTGTGTGTGTGTGTATGGGTGTAATCTGCTTCTCAGGAAACAGTGACTGTGTGTATATGGGTGTGAGAATGCTGCAGGTTGCAGTTGGGAAATGTGAGAAATGACTGTGGTAAAGCTGCGGTAAAGCTGATCACTGTGCTCTATATTTATAGAAAGTAACTATATTCAGAAAATAATGAATATAATTATAAATATGAATATAGATATCAGGGCTGGGCACTATAAAATAAAAGTGGAGTCCAAACACATGCACTTTCTGTGCTCCTGATCAGTTCTGAGCACAGTAATTCTCAGAAGTCTGATGAATACGGGCCCGGATCTCTGCATTGTCAGTAATCCACATCAGCAGATGCCCCTTCACATGACTGAAGTCTTTGACTAGCTCATAGCAACATCTCTCCTACATGAGAAGTACACTGTTTTTCCAGTAATGTCCGCCATTAAACTGCTGTTTGCCTGTGTTCAACATGCCAGTGCCATGCTAGGCTGTAGTAAGGCAGTTGCTAAGGTGGCTCAAGAGTTTTTAGCGCATAACTACGCTAGGCTGTTGCTGTGAGTGGTTGCCAGGTGGTCATATACTGGCCAAAAGCCCAAATATCCAACAAGTTGCCAGATTGGCTCACACTGTTTGATCATCCAGCACAGGTCTTTCCTCTTCAGTACCACAGTGTTCGTTCATTCATTCATTCGTTTATTTATTTATTTATTTATTTATTTATTTATTTTCCTTTAGCTTATTCCCTTATTTATCAGTGGTCTCCACAGCAGAATTCCACCAACTCTTCCAGCACACACAGCACAGCCACATCAGATGTGTGGAGCACAGCATTGTCTACAGTGTGCTCAGCGATGGCTGGTTTAAACTGTGTATGTAAATAGAGTTGAACTGAATATGCTAGTGTGGAACCGGTAATGAACACTAATCCAGGTTTCATTAACATTACAGCTAAGTACAGCTGAAGTCAGAATTATTCACCCTACAGCATTTATTCTTCTCCAAATATTCCCCAGATGCTGTT